CTGGATTTGGGGGTTTAGGGTTTAGAGTTCAGGGTACAAGGATTAGGGTTTAGGGCATTTCGCGTTTGGGGCTTAGGGGTGGGGAGCATGCTTGAGCCCTATGAACCCCAAAACCCAAAGTCTATCCGCGGTTTAGGGTTTAGGGGTTAGGGTCTGCCAGGGGAACCTACTACCAGGACGAGCTTAGGGCTTGGGGTGCGGCACTAAAAATGGCCCTTGATTTGGCTCGGCAGCGGCTGTCTGCGCCTGGTTGTTGCTGTGTCTTCGCCTTCGGGCGAACCCTAAACCCTAAACCCTAAACCCTAAGCCCTAAACCCTAAACCCTAAACCCTAAACCCTAAGCCCTAAACCCTAAACCCTAAACCCTAAACCCTAAACCTTAGAGGGCAGACGTTGGGTCGAAGGCATGACAGCGATCTTCTTGGTAGCGCAGTAACCATATTTGAAGAAGGGCACCCTATTTTGGGTTGCTTTTTTGTTTTTATAGGGGAACCCAGAACCCCAAAAAAGGGTAAAGGGCACCACTGGGCTGCCAAATCTTTCCTCAGAATTGAGCACATTACAGTTCTTTTAGGGTTCAGGGTTAAGGCTTGAGGGTACCCCTACAATCCCTCATGCAGGAACCTGAGAAAATTGGGGTCTATAAAGCCTAGACCCTAACCCAAGCCCATAAACCCCAGAACCCAATAACCCATCCCTGAGACCGCATTAAACCCCTATACCCTAGACCCCGAAGCCCAGAAAGCCCAGGTTGGCTTGGCAGCCGAGTATCAGGTAGCCTTTCCGGGGTTGGTTACTTGAATAAGGGAACCTAGAACCAGAAACCGAAAAAAAAGGTATCACTAGGCTAAACCCTGACCCTAAACCCAAAACCCTCTGTGCCTTGGCAGCCGGGCAAGTCAACGATGTACATCGCGCAGGCGGCGAACAGCGACATAAGCCCTCAGTTGGCAGAGCAGCGGGTTTAAGGTTTGGGCTTTAGAGTTTAGGATTTGGAGTTTAGGATTTGGGGTTTGGGGTTCACGGGCTTCGGTGTCTATTTGTAGGCTACGTTCTCAGGCCCCCAAACAGCAATAAACTCGCAGCCCTCGACCTGAATCCTGCAGAGGCACATAAGGGCATTTCCCAAAATTGGGGGAACCCCGTGTAAACCCCAAATAGAATAGAATCCCCTTAATGGGGCCCCCAACCGAGTACCTTTCGTTTCGGAAACCGCAGAACTCAAGGGCTAGTGCCCTGGACCCCTAAACCCTAAACCCTAAACCCTCAACCTGGGGCTAACAGCCGCTGGGGAGACACTAGAGCGAAAAGCCATTCTCAAGGGACTAGAGGAGGGACCCTTATAAGGGACCTGACCTTAGGGGCTAATTTGGGCTAATTTAGGGCTGCTTAGGTATACAGGGATTGTATAAGGTATATATATATATGAGCCCGCCGCCTTTAGGGTCTATTTAGCTTTGGGTTTTTCTTATTGCTTAAAAAGAGCGAATATAAATATCGTAATACAAAAATACATATTTACACCTACATATGGCACGCAAATCTCATGCCCAGCGGTTCTAGGCCTAGCCGCACGCCATTACGAACTGCGAATTTCTGGTTGTTCTTATTTTCATTTGTTTCTCTTTGCTATCTGTGTATGCGTGTTCTTTTTTCAGCCTGCGTGAAAAAGTCGCTGTTTGGCTGCGGCAGAAGGGAAAGAGAAGTGAGAGAGGAGAGACAACAAGGAGGCCATTTTAATTTTCTGGAAGGGTATTGATTGAAAAGAAGAGAAGAGACAAGAAACAAGGAGACGGATGGCACTCTTCTTTATCTATCATCTCTCCCTTCCTTGCCTCTCCCATTTCCCTCTATAATTCAAAAGACAAGACCATTCTTGCTCTTCGCAGATCAGAGGAGAGATCAAAAGGAATGCAATTTTAATGGGAAGAGCAATGAAAAGAATGGAAGAGAAATGAAGACAGGAGAGGGAGGTGCAAAATCAGGCTAAGAGAAGATGGTGCTCGTTTTCATCTTTCTTCTCTTGCTCTTTTCCTTTTCAAATAAACAACAAAAGGAAGAACAATGAACATGCAAAGGAACCCGTTTTCTTTTTCCATGTGGGAACAAGGAAAGAACAGAGGCGATAAGGCGAGAGGAGGGATTTGCTGAAGCATGGGGAGGGTCTACGGACAAGGAGCCAACCCCGCTCACTTTCCCCATCCATTGAAACAGGAAAAGAAAGGAACAGGGCCTCCATTCCCCTCTTGTTCTTGTGTTTTTGTCACATCAAGGGGAACAGGAGAAGAGAAGGGAGAGAGAAGGAGAGAGGAGAGACAAAAAGGATTGCATTTGTACTGGGAAGAGCAAAGAAAAGAATAGAAGAGAGATGAATAAAGGAGAGGGAGAGACAAAATAAGGCGCAGAGAAGATGGCACTCTTCTTTATCTATCCTCTCCCCCTTATCTCTCCCTGCCCTCTTTCTTTTCGAAATAAGAAAACAAAAAGGAAGAACTATGAGAAGGAGAAGGGGACGGAAAGGAACAGAAGGGATAGGCCGATAGGAGGGGGTATGGCAAGGTCCACGCGCAAGGAGTCACCCTCTGCTTACCCTTCCACTGCCTTATCATACAAGTTCCTTTCTTGCGCTGTATCAGTTGAAAGGAAACAGAAGGAGAGAAGGGAAAGGGAAGTGAGAGAGGAGAGATGACAAGGATGGCATTTTTCTGGAAGCGCAACTGTACCGGAATGTGGCCACAATAAGCAGGCCAGGGAGACTCAGGCGGGGCAACTGTAGCGGAATGTGGCCACAACAAGCAGGCCAGGGAGGCTCAGGCGGGGCAAGTCTCTCCCTAATTAGAAAAAAACCAATCTTGCTCTTCGCAAATAGATAAGTGCCCTTCTTCCTCTTCAGGAAATCGCCTTTCCCTTATTTTGCTTTCTGAAGCGAATAAGAAAAAGAACAGATAAGAAGAAAGGACAGGGAATGACTAGGTAAAGAGAGGAGCTCTTCAATTTTGCATTACTTTTCCTTCTTGGGGGGTCCTTTTTTCTCCCTTGAAGATGCAGAAAACTCTCAAAAGGAACACCCGTTCCATCGCCCATTTACTCTTCCCTTCCTTATCTCCTATGCTCTTTTCCTTAGTCATTGCAACAGGAGAAGACAGGAAAAGGGCCTCCATTCCCCTCTTGTTCTTCCTTTCTTGTGTTTTTGTCATATAAAGGGGAACAGGAGAAGAGAAGGGAAAGAGAAGGGGAGAGGAGCGATGAAAGGAACACAATTTTAATGGGAAGAGCCAAGAAAAGAATGGAAGAGAGATGAATAAAGGAGAAGGAGAGACAAAACAAGTTGCAAAGAAGATGGCGCTCTTCTTAATCCATCCCCTCTCCCTTATCTCTCCCTTCCCTTTTTCTTTTCGAAATAAGACAAACTAAGCAGGAAGAATTATGAAAAGGAGAAGGGTAAGGAAAAGAGCAGAAGAGATAGGCCGAAAAGAGTGATATGATGAAGTATGGCAAGGTCCACACTCAAGGAGTCACCCTCTGCTTACCCTCCCACTGCCCTTATCATACAAGTTCCCTTCTTGTGGTTTATCAGCTAAACGGAAACAGAAGGAGAGAAGGGAAAGAGAAGTGAAAGAGGAGAGACAACAAGGATGCCATGTTAATTTTCTGGAAGGGTATTGAAAAGAAGAGAAAAGACAAGAAACAAGGGGACGGATGGCACTCTTCTGTATCTATCATCCTCGTCTTTCCCTTTTCCCTCTATAATTAAAAAACAGGCGCCATCTCTCGTCTTCAGGAACCCGTTCACTTTTTCCGTTTGGGAACAAGGAAAAGAACAGAGGCGATAGGGCGAGAGGAAGAATTTGCTGAAGCATGGGGAGGGTCTACGGGCAAGTAGCCAACCCCGCTCACTTGCCCCATCCATTGTGAAAAGAACAGGGCCTCCATTCCCCTCTTGTTCTTCCTTTCTTGCGTTTTTGTCATTTAAGGGGGAACAGCAGAAGAGAAGGGAAAGAGAAGGAGAGAGGAGCGAGGAGAGATAACAATAACACAATATTAATGGGAAGAGCCAAGAAAAGAATAGAAGAGAGATGAATAAAGGAGAGGGAGAGACAAAACAAGGCGCAAAGAAGACGGCACTCTTCTTTATCTATCCTCTCTCCCTGATCTCTGCAAGGAATAGAACAGACAGGAAGCAAGGAGACGGAGTGACAAAACTTGTCGCAAAGCTTTATATATCTCCCTTGTCTCTCCCTAATTAGAAAAAACCAATCTTGCTATTCACAGATAGATAGGTGCCCTTCTTCCTCTTCAGGAAATCGCCTTTCCCTTATTTTGCTTGTTGAAGCGACTAAGAAGAACAACAGATAAGAAGAGAGGACAGGGAATGACTAGGTAAAGAGAGGAGCTCTTCAATTTTCCTCCCTATCTCTTATGTTACGTTTCCTCCTTGGGGGATATCCTTTTTTCTCCCTTGAAGATGCAGAAAACTCTCAAAAGAAACGCCCGTTCCATCGCCCATTTACTCTTCAATTCGCTTCCTTATCTCCTATGCTCTTTTCCTTATTCTTTGCAACAGGAGAAGACAGGAAAAGGGCCTCCATTCCCCTCTTGTTCTTCCTTTCTTGTGTTTTTGTCATATAAAGGGGAACAGGAGAAGAGAAGGGAAAGAGAAGGAGAGAGGAGCGATGAAAGGAACACAATTTTAATGGGAAGAGCCAAGAAAAGAATGGAAGAGAGATGAATAAAGGAGAAGGAGAGACAAAACAAGTTGCAAAGAAGATGGCGCTCTTCTTAATCCATCCCCTCTCCCTTATCTCTCCCTTCCCTTTTTCTTTTCGAAATAAGAAAAACTAAGCAGGAAGAATTATGAAAAGGAGAAGGGTAATGAAAAGAGCAGAAGAGATAGGCCGAAAAGAGTGATATGATGAAGTATGGCAAGGTCCACACTCAAGGAGTCACCCTCTGCTTACCCTCCCACTGCCTTTATCATACAAGTTCCTTTATTGTGGTTT